TAAGAGTGTTTGAGGCCAGCCTGATCTACACATCGAGTTCCAGGCTAGTCAAGAGCTGAGATCCTGTCAGACTGGGGGCATAAGAGCAAATAATTTATGAGTTTTTTAGAGTCTATTTCCATGATTAGATTTTATATTCTTTTAAAGTAAAGTACATATTATTTTGTCCCTTTCTTCAGACACTGGAAACATAGACTAGGCAACTGGCGAACGCTGTGGCGTTCAGTAATCACCTTGTCAAACATTCAGGATTTTGCTTCAATTTCCTTTCGAGTGGTTAGCTGGAAAAATGAAAATTCTATAGGCCATGTGAAAATTACAGCCAAAGAGTTTCTTCTGGCAAAACTCTTACCTTCTGATAATTTAGAACCTACCTATTGGATGGATGCTAGCAAATTCTAGATCATCTGTGTTGTGACACCCAGGGCTCCAACAGTGTATGTTGGTTGCTCACTTCCCTGAAAACCAAGCATAAGTCTACTCCCTTTGGCTTTAATGCTTTAAATCTATTTGTCAGTTGCTTTTATTTGGTGATAAACCACAAGTTTTCTGTAATATTTAACGGTATTTTTCAGTATTTCTAGGTCAGTAGTTCTAATACTCAGGTTGTTGAATGAAATATTTAGGTTATTTACAGGGACATTTAGTTCAAACAAATGCAGGTTGATGCTCACTGAATGTTCTGTCCTAATCAGCTAACCTCACCAGCCAAACAATTCACCAAAAACTTATTTATATGAAACCAGTTACCATTTTTTTTCCTTTAGCAGAAAGCAGAAATTTATGTTATGACAGGAACACAGAAACAACATAAACTCAAACAACAACAGCAGTAGCAATAAATCTGAGGATTCTAACAGAATTTCTATGGAGCGAGAGAGGACGTGTTTCTGATTTATTATCTGCTGATGAGGGCTCGCTGCGTGCACTGCTGTGACGTCACACACACGGGCAAGCTGGGTTTCTCACATCCCACACTCCGGTACAAATATACGGATGTGTGTTCTCATGGACTCAGACAGACTAATGGTCCACGTGCATGCTTGTGTATATACCTACATGCCTCTGCCATTATATAACTCAACTAGGAAGATACACTGATACCATTTATGTGAATCTCTTTTTTTTTTTTTTTTGGCTCAGTGACATCTATCAGCTTGACAAGGATGCTCCTTTCTCTCTCAAGTCTCCCCCTGATCTTTCTTCAGTTTGTACATGAAGGCGTTCATATTTCTTCATTGATTCAATTGCTAATTGAAATTATATTCATTTCTGTAGCTCCTGCCTATCAGGCTGTGCCTTTCCCATAAACAGTGGCCTTACTTTCTCCATTCATTTTCTCCAAAACAGGTCCTTTGCGCCTTCAGTAAAAGTTTGTTGACAGAATAAAGGAGCGAGCACGCTACTATTAGGTTGTCTGTGTTTAACCTTCTGGACCACCGAAACTGTATCTTATTCATCTTTTGCATGCACAAAGGGCCTAATAAACATCACTGATTAGGTCAGTGATACAAGGCAGTGATCCTTAGGCTCATATAGCTTTACCTTTTCTAATCTTCGCACGTTAGCAGATTGTGTGTGTCTGGTGTATGATGAATACGTGAAAGACTGAGTGGTTATGAAAATAAATATCGAAAGCAACACATGAGCTTCAAGTGAAATTTTTCTAGGTGCTGGAGATGGCCCAGGGAGTAAGATTGCATACCTGCGCAATACAACCCCAGCAGTGGGGAAAGGTAGTGAGACAGAGGGATCCTTCTAAGTTTTGTGTTTGCTTTTGTCTCCTATAGCCCATGCTGTTGTTCTTCAACTCACTATGTAGCTGAGACTGATCTTAGACTTGGGAGCCTTCTGCCCCCGATTCCTGAGTGCTACACTTAACCATCCCATTAGGTTTTTCAAGTGTTGGGGATCAAATACCCTCCTTATTCATGCCGGGCTGGCTGCGTCGCCACCAGTGAGTAGAGTTTCCGTGCCTTCAAAATAGATTTGAATTTTTAATCCGAAGCTGTTTTTAATGTGCATATTTTGACACCCATGTTTGGAAGAAACTTAGCTTTGAAAAGCTACCGCAGTCAGCAAAAGCCAAACAAAGCGAAGCGATTTTAAGCCTCAAGCTTTGCAGTTCTGACATCGCATTAGTGACGATACCACCAATTGTTATCGGAGTAGAATTTTATCAATATGTCCTTGTTCCTTTATGGCCAGGTAGCTGTGGGCCAGACATGGTGCAGAAATAGCTAGCATTTGGGTAGAAAATTGGTGATAGGCTGGGATACAGGATGCTTTTATATTGTTTTCTCCTTAAATATTAACCTGGACTCTGGACATCTGGTAGTTGCTCTGTGAAACCCTGTTCAAACCGTGGAAATGAATAATCCACCGAGGATTGTGATCCTTGCCAGGTTTTAGCGCTCTCCTGGTGCAGGAGACGCTTGCTTGAGTGAGTCCCCTCCTGCGCTCTTACTCCAGTCCAGGGTTTAGGGCAGAGCTGGGTTCTCAGACCTGGAAAGTTGTGTGGTAAAGCAGAAATCCTTTAGACTTTGGGGTGAGTTCGCCCCAAAGTGCAGGGTGTGGAAGTGGTGGGGTGGAAGGATGGGAGGCACAGCATGAGACCCGGAGGCGGCCAGGCAGAAACTAAGGACGTAGCTTTGAGGCCTCTTTTTTACTGGGAAGTTGAAAAGGGCCGGGAGGAAGCTTAATGAACCAGCTCCAGTTGCCTAGCAACTTGAGACGCTGGCCCTGTTTGCTGGGAACTGTCCTTTGGGCTGGCGACGGGGAGCTCCCAGAAGGAAGTTCTTGGTGGAATCTGGTTTATACTCCTTCCAGCCCTTCTTTTCCGGGTCTGGGCTTTACAGAACTAACATTGTTAGGTCAAATCAACTTGGCTTGTTCCGTGTCCCCCTTGAGTCCTAGGTGAGGTGGAAGGTGGATTCCTTTTGGCACACCCCAGGTATGGTGAAGTAAGATTTGAATTGAATTAGGAACAACTTTGTGTTCAATCTCAGATCTTGGGTGGGTTGTCACCACGGATTCAAGGTGGGGTCTGTGTCCCTCATGGAATTTAAGTACTAAACTGTATTTATTAATCTTTTCCCTCTAGTTTATGAACTAGATTAGATGGGGTTAAGCCAAGTGACGGTCACCTGTCCGGGTCTCAGCTTGCTCAGTGTAAAAATCAGAGGCTTGGGCGATTTTAGCTTTTGAAGCTCTGTCCAAATTGTTAGATTCTCTAACTGGGGGGGGGGGGGGGGGTTGTAGGCAGGTGCTAATCCTTCAGACTCCAGTGTGCCCCTTATGGCAACATTTCCCTTTGAACCCTCTTATTTGCATTGGGATGAATCACTTTTGTGAATGAATCACGTCTCCGCCCTGCCATTCTGAGTTAGCTCATGCCTAATTGACTGAATTTGCTCATTTTCTTGACTTCCTCCTAAGTCTTGAGATATAATGTGGGCATCCACTGGAGTTATTGATTTTATAAGCTTCAACTCAGTTTTACTGAAGAGTACTTGGCGCTATTTGGTGCCGCAAACACCTTACTGGATTGTTTCCTGAAAGACTTGTATGTTGGCATTGCGATGGGTGTAGTTAGGTATAGAGAAATGAATTTAACATGGGTATATTCCAAGTGTATATGGACATTTATGATGCATTAAATTATCTATTGACTCAACAAGTATTCATTAAAGAATCTATGTTATAAGAAGGGCAGTAACTACCAGCCTTTGTGGTTGCGATACCACACTAAAAACTCAGCGGAGAAGCACAGGGGGCAATAGGAACAGGACATTCTCGCTTTTTTATTTGCTCTTGTTATTAACTGCAAACCAAGTCTAGTGGTCTAAAATGTCATATGGTTATTTGGAATGGCAACCATAGTTGCTAAGGTATGAAGCTGGGAGGCTGGCAGTGTGTCAGAGAGAAAGTCATATATTGGCTGCTCAGTGTCTCCATCTTAACTTTGGCTTGTGTTTGAGTTACTGATCTATTGCTGTGAAGAGGCACCATGACAGAGACAACTTACAAAAGAAAGCATTTAACTGCGACTTGCTTGCAGTTTCCGAGGGTGAGTTATGACCATCGTGGCAGGGAGCATGGCAGCAGGCAAGCAGACATGACCCTTGAGCAGTAGCTGAGAGATTATATCAGGCTCAGCCTGATGTGCTCTTTTGGAACTTCAAAGCCCAGCCTAGAGGCGTACCTCCTCCACCAAGTCCACCTCCTAATTCTTCCTAAACAGTTCACCAACTGGGGACCTAATATTCAAATATGCAAGCTTATGAGAGAAGTTCTTATTAAAATCACTACAGCTTTTCAGTTGCTAGCCATCACGGTGAATACAGTAATTTGTTCTGGAATTGAACCCATGGCCTTGGAGGTGTTAGACAAGTGCCAGAACCAGTGGGATACAAACCTACCCTCCAAATGTAGTCACTTTTCTAATATGACCAAATAAAGGAGCTTGGCTTAGAGCATTAGAGCATCCAAAGTTGCTTCTTTTGAAAGGTTCCTGAAAAGAAACCCATTTGAAGTGTCTTCAGGATTATTTTCAAATCTGATGATTTGTGCTGTTTCTGGATGGCAATTTACTCTTAGAGTAGGATTCCTGGCCTGAGGTGAGTGATTTTTTTTTTAAGAGGAGAAGGATCTGGAGTGGGGAAAACACAAAAGATAGGGCACAAAAGAATTGGGGTTCGATTACACTGGGCGTGAAATAATAATCAGAGTTGCTGTCTACTGAACCTTCCCTCCCTCTACCAAGATGAGGACTTCTTTGGGCATACGTCATGTCATGCAGGCTTCCATGAAGCACGATGTATTTGCATCACCAAAACCTGATTTCAGTTTATAAAATCAAAAATGATTCATTATTAGCCATGGCAATTAAACACAACGGCTTCTCTGTATGGACATGTACTGTGTATGGATTATTTAAAATTCGAGTAAGAGTGACCATTTTGCATTTATTTTATCTCTCCAAAAGAGCCGCACATTGCATGAGAAACACATACATTTGAATGGATTTAGAGGTCAAAGGAGTGGCTGCATCTAGGAACCAACCTCGCCTAATTTCTCAACGAAAGAATTCACTCCAAGTATGTATGCCATAGGATTTTCCTCTTATAAAATGATCCCTTCCATTGCTTCCACCGTCTTTCCCTCCTGTTTTCCCTCACAAATATTTACCCTCAGTGTTCCCTAGATTAGGAAGCCTGGGGCCACCAAATTTGAAGGTAATCATTGTTTTAAAATAGATTGATTTAGCTTTAAGTTTTTTAATTTTAAGATTATTGCTTTATCATTGTTATTTTAAAAAATCCCCACATATTAGCAGAAAATATAAAGGAAGAAGAAAGTATCATTTTCTTCTCAGTGTTGCCACTATTCCATGCTAGTGGATTTATGGTTAATTGGCACATCATTTTAACCTGCATACTTAATCACACATCCTATAATCGTTTTATGTATTAAATTCACTAAAAGTATTAGTATTCACAAAAGATATAGTGTAACATATACAAAAGATTTAAAATATCATAAACTAAACTTTCTCTACCTTGTACACTATTTAAAATGGAATTTCAATGACTGAATCCCTTGAGTCTTATTTATTTTATTATTATTATTATTATTTTTGATTTTCGAGACAGGGTTTCTCCATAGCTTTTTGGTTCCTGTCCTGGAACTAGCTCTTGTAGACCAGGCTGGCCTCGAACTCACAGAGATCCACCTGCCTCTGCCTCCCGAGTGCTGGGATTAAAGGCGTGCACCACCACCGCCCGGCTGAGTCTTATTTATTTTGTGCTCATAACCCACTTAGCATAGTACTGGGTACCAAAGGTCCAACAATCAATGAAATGAAGACTTAGCTCAAGGAACCTCTCATCTTATAGATGGGATTGATATTCCAACAGTAATGAATTCAACTAGGAAAGATATTTAAAGGAAAACCATGACTCCCTAAAGCAGAAAAGATGGTGAACTGTAGGCTAAAAACCTAGTGAATGAGACCGACACCTCCACTCTCTGTGTTCAGGGCTCTGAAAGGCAAAAAGGCGAAGACATGAATGACATTAATGACACTGGTGATGGATAGAGTCAAGCCACAGAGCTGTGGCTCATGTAGCCGACACCAACTTGCTATTTTTGTATTTACATCCAAATGCAAGTATTTGAAGAGAAAATCTTATGCTTTTATGTTAGTAGTGTAGAAAGAGTATCCAGATATCCTTCTTAACTCTCAAGCCACTGCTGTCTATGTTTCATGGAGCAACTAAATGCAATTTCTCTCTCTGGTATTTTTATTTGTTTATTGATAATTTCATTTATGAGTACTATAATTATATTGGTTTCTACTCCCTCAATTCCTTCCAACTCCTTCCATGCTCTCCAAACTTCCTCCTACATGGCCTCTTACTCTTTATTGTAATATGTATGTATATAATTTATAAATATAACCCGCTGAGTCCCTTTAGAGTTGTTCATATGTCTATGTCCTTAGGACTGACTACTTGGGATTGGTTAACTCATCCGGGGCTTTTCCCTGGAGGAGAGGGCTCGCTCTCTCTCTCAACCAGCCATTAATTGCCTGTAGCTCTTTATGTAGGGGTGGGGCCAGGAAAGCTCTCCTCCATCCTCAGCGTCCTGACAGCTGGTGATGTTGCTTTTCAGGTCTTGTTTAAACAACCATGTCGTTGAGGTCTCATGGGTACAGCTTCCCTGTCATGTATACACCTAACAGGAGCCATCCCAATTTTCTGTCTGTCACAGTCTTCCTGCCTGTTTTAGTCTTGTCATTGTTTGAGGACCCATCTTCCCAAGCTGACAGTGCTGGGCAGGTGGTCATTGTCTTAGCCATCATTTCCTTCTCGTCTTCATTACAATGATGAGAGTCGCGGGAGGCACATTTTCTATGGCATTTACAGGGGGGAAAATGTAATTGTCTCTACTGCATCCAGTCATGGCTTATCTTTTAATGTATAATGCACACTGATTCTCTCTCTCTCTCTCTTATTAAAGCAAGGATGGACTTCCAGATCATGGGCAATCCAGAATCCCTGCCTACCTGTGTGAGCTACATTTCTTTACATTTCCATTGCTGAACTGGCACATACTTATGATACTTTTGAGTAGTTAAAAACTACATATGCATATATTTTATTGTGAACTGCAGAAAAGTCTGCATAGAGAAAGCCTGAATATTATCATTTCAAATTTTTTTTTTTTTAAAAACAGCCTCTTTCAAAGGGATAGTAGGGATATGGGCAATATTCTGCTGTTCTTATTTAATGCTGTTCTCACAATTTCCTGAAAAAAAGAAATTCTTTCTTAAAAATCATTTTGTCATTTTAAGATTCAAGCTTAATTTAAAATGAAACATAACATCACAAAACTATGAATTTAGGAATTCTTTAGGGCATTTTGATACATGTAGAAATCAGAATAAGTATACTTATTCTAAAGAAATGTATGACATTCTTCTTTTTATGATTGGCATAGTAAAAGTTACCTAATAGTAACTATACCTGTATTTTAAATTGTCATGTTGACGAATTTGAGAATGTAATTGATATTAGTAAAGTTTTCTTTTTTAGAATATGTCATATATATTATAGTTTCATACATTTGAAAAGTAAAATTATTTTTCATGTAGTTTAGATTACATGACATGTAACTTGGTAGGTTGAATTACACCATAGTACTACTTTTAAGGTCAATAATTTCATCTGTTTCTACATGGTAGATACCTTTATCTTCAGCTGGATATGAAACTTAAGTTACGTTTAAGTTAAAAAGCTATGCTTATGTACTGAATACACAATATAGATAATAGTAAGGGGCATGTCAGAGAGAGTGGTCTTCCAGTTGTGTGCTAATCTACAGTTTATAGTGGATGTGAAAAATTATTAAATATTTACTATACATTTTCATTTGCTCGTTATAAAAATTAAATGCATGTTGTTGGTCAAAGCTTTTGTTACATAAATTATATATAGCAAGAAATTTTCACAGCTCATAAAATATGTAAACTATCATAAAATCCATTTAGGCAACTCGTACCCACAGAATGCTTTGTTTGTTTTTCTCTGGATATCTATAATCAGCCTATGGCTGTAGTGATGGGCCAATTCCAGTGTAAATGTTGGGTGATATTTTTATTTGCTATAAAATATTATGAGTGGTTGCTTGGTGAGACCAATTTTGAATGCTTAAAATAATATTGCTGAACATTCTCTTGTGCCACTGTACTGGCTGGTTTTGTGTGTCAACTTATCACAAGCTAGAGTTATCTGAGAGGAAGGAGCCTCAGTTGAGAAAATTCCTCCATGAGATTCAGCTGTAAGACACTTTCTCAATTAGTGATCAGAGGGGGAGGGCCAGCCTATGGTGGATGGTGCCATCCCTGGGATGCCCATCATGGTTTCTTTAAGAACATGGGTTGAGCAAGCCATGGGAAGCAAGCCAGTAAGCAGCATCCCTCCATGGCCTGTGCTTCAGCTTCTGCTTCCAGGATCCTGTCCTGTTTGAGTTCCTGTTCTGACTTCTTTCAGGGATGAACAGCAAAGCTGAATTTTAAACCAAAAAACCCTTTCCTCCCCAACTTGCCTTTTGGTCACAATGTTTCATCACAGCAACAGAAACCCTAATTAAGACAGTAACCCAGCACTAGACAGCTACATATGTGGTGTATTACATTTTATTTGCATTATTAATATTTTCTGCCTCCACTTTTTAAGTCTCAGAAGTCAACAAAATAATAAGTCAAATCTTGATTCCTAGTATTTGCTAATTTCCATGTAAACAATCCAGTGCTAGCTGACTTAAAGTGAGCAGATTTGGAAAGGGACGTGTGCATTTATACCATGACACAGATATAGATCTTACTAACCATGCTCACCTCAACAGCACACAAGATACCCTAGGGCATTGCAATAGCAGAGCAGGCAAACCATTAGGACAGTGGACTTTGAATACTTATTGCCTTTGTTCCTTTCTTATGTGTCTGTATATGTTTGTGGTGTGCACGTGTGCTTTATACTTTGGGGAGCCCTTCTCATCCTCCCGAGTGCTGATGACAAGCAGCTGCCACACCTGCCTAGATATTATGTGGGTTCAGGGCATCTGAACTACTGTCCTGCCTGGAAAATGCCTCGGTCATTGAGGCACCTCCTTAGCACCACCCTTGTTCCAAATATAATTTATTTAATTATACATTTGTATACGTTCATTATTATATTTCATTTACTATTTTATAAATAATGACTATTTCATAATCAATTTGAAAAGTTACTAAACATTTATCAAAATCTACAACCCTTCCTGCTATGCAGGGGTAGACAACCCACCATTAGCTTAATTGTGACTTTGTATATAGATAATGTATTTGAAAATGATTTTTCTGTCATTACAGACTCAGTTAAATTTTTATGAGCTGCATAGATTATTTCTTTTAGGGTTCCACCACTTGATTTGGGAAGCCTTGTTGACTCTGATGAGGAGGTAATTTTAACTTTTTTTTAATGCAATAAATATTTGACAACAGTAGCACCTATGAGCATGTACTATCATTCCATTTTATTTTTTAGGATAATTTTTCAGAAGCACCATGTGGTACAATGCATGCTCATCTCAAGCAACCACAGTTATCTTCGACTCTGGCTTGGATTACGCCATGTCAAAGACCATATACACAGTATCATCTGAACGAAGTGGTCAGTATGCATTTAGTCTGTATGTTACAGTGGCCATTGCTCTAAATTTGGCCTCAGTCATCTTTTGTGTTATACTTGTACTGTCTCAAAACTCTCCAAGAGTTGGACATACATGTATATTCCCAACACACACATATATATGTACACACACACACACATAATATATTGGTATCTGTGCCCATCTAAGTCAGAACAAATACCCACTGACTCTATTATCTTTTGCTACCACGAAAATTTGACAAGCAGCCACAAAATAGTAGGGAATAAAATACGGTGATACTCTGGAAATGGCAGCCGGTTCTTTTAATTAGTGTTGTTAATCTCTAATTCCTAGGGCTGTTTTGATCAAAAAAATCAAAGACCTACATAAAATATCTAAAAAAAAATACCTTGATATTAATTCTTTCAAGTCACTTTTGGAGCAGACCTTCAGCTGAGCAGAGAGTAAAGGGTTCCCAAGGTCACGCTCCCATTCTGGTCAGGTCCCCTGTGGTCTGTGCTCTGTCAGCTGGATATTTTATTGTCCCTCCTGTTTGGAACACAGACTACAGTAGTTTTTCTTTAGAGCTAAGAGCTAAAGTAAATGGTAAGCCTGGTAATGTCAACAAGAAAAATACTACTTAAAAAAAAAAAAAACTTTTCTAGACTGTGGTGCTCGTGCACTTGGGAGACAGAGGCAGGTGGATCTCTGTGAGTTTGAGGCCAGCTTCATCTATAGCATAAATTCCAGAACAGTCAGGTCTGTACAGAGAAAGCCTGTCTGGAAAACAAACAAACAAACAAACAAACAAACAACTAACCAACCAACCAAAGAAACAAAAATCCCAAAGAAACAAAAAGCCAAAATACCATTTTCTGGCCATCAAAGAGAGTTCTGTGAGAAGAATGTTGAAGTGTAGGTCACCACGACTGATGGCTTCCCGCGTGGGTGCAGGCGTGGAAGGAGTCAAGGGGCTGGTCGCTGGGAGTTTGACCATGCTCCAGTATAAATAGCACAAACTGAACTTGGTTTTCTCTTTCTCTCTCTCTCTCTCTTTTTTTTCAGGGTTGGAGGAGGGTGTCTCACAAGGGTTGTGGGGAGGACCTGGGAGCACTGGGAAGTGAGTTTGGTTGGTTTATGAAGTGAGATTCCCAAAGAACCAATAAAAATATTATGAGAGACCCAGCTTTCTGGTGCACAGCATGCCTTGTGTGTTGCCTCTAGGAACAGGACATCATCCCAGAGGATTTGCCAGCACCCACAGGCAAGTACAAGCAGAAATATGAGCAATATGCGGCTGAAATGAAGGAGGGCTACAAGCAGCACATTCGGAGAACTGCAGAAAAGGCGAAAGCTACCAGCCGGCAAGACCTGGCAGGAAGCAAGATGAATGAGAAGGTAACGTGGGAAACTTGTATAGTGTGCATGAAACTTAAAGCGAGCAATGCCCATGTCTTAGAAATATCTTTTCTGCTGTCAATTTAGAAAGTTTAACACTGAACATTTATTTTAATAAGTCAGGGCTATTAAAGTATTTTATGTGTATCCACTAAGTTAATTTTCAAGACAAACCCAAAGCCCTGCTGTCAGTATCTTTTGTACAGAAAACTTTGTTCCTATACTTTTAAATATGTGACCTTCCAAAGAACATGGGCAGTAAGAAGAAATCCAAGAGGAGAAACTCTTAAAGCCTGGCAGGTTCTTGACTAGCTGCTTTGTTGGTTATGATCATTTCTGTCTTTTACTTAATGTCTACTGTATATCAGGTATATATAAGCATTTGTCATTTTTTGATACAGTATCGACAGTTATTCCCAGTTTATGACAAAAAGGAGGCTCAGAGAGGTCATCTAGCTGAACACATGGAAGCCTGCATCCCAAGACTGGCTGGTACTCTGAATTCTCCAACAGCCTTTTTGGGAATACGTGCCCGATGGTTTGTGTTTTGCCTTCCTTGTGTAGTGCGATCAGGGGGAAGAAGCCTGCGTGGATGACCTTCTGACTCTGGATAGGAAAGCCCTCCTGCAGCAAGATTATGCAGATAGCCCTCACCATATAAGGAGCAGCACAAGGAAATCAGATGCTGTAAGCCACCAGCAGTTTCCTTTATTTGATAAGTCATTAAGGTATTTATCCTCCCAAGATTTTATGGTTGTAGTTGAATAAAGAGTTATAGCAGTGAATTTGGACTAGGAGGAATACACATTAATATCTAAATTTAGCCCTTTGTTTTTATAAACAATTTACTTGTGTTAGGTATGTTTTCTGAGGAAAAAATTTTTGAATCATTGAATTTGTGAAAATTTAGTTTATTCTGCTCAAAATATTAGTTGGCCACTATGGTAGTATGCTTTGAATTTGGCACCGCTTTCTTGCCGCAAAATAAAGCCTAATATTTTGGTTTAAGATTATGTTTTAACTACATTTCTCCCTTTGCCTTTCTCCCTCAAACCTTTTCTGTGTGTATATATATATATATGCATATATACACATGTATATAATATATGTATACATGTATACACCCAAATATACATAATACATACACACAAATATATGTATATATATGTATGTGTACACAAAAATCTATATAATACATGTATATGTAAATATATAACACAATACATAAACAAAAATGTATGTGTTTTCACATATATATATAAAGTTCATTAGCTACTGATATTATACAAATTTAGGCTGGCTATGGAAAAGTCCAGGAGTCAAGTTGGTTCTTTTTAAATAAAGTTAAGGCTCTAGACTTTGTGGCCAAAAAAATGGCTTAGTCAGGAAAGTACCTGCTTTGAGATCACAAGGCCTTAAGTTCAACTCAGAACCCACATAGCCAAAGCTGGGTGTGGTTCCAGGCACTTGTTATCCTAGTTCTAGCAGTAGGGCTGCATTGATCCTGGGGCACAGTCGCCCGGCTGTGTAGCCCAGTGCACCCCCTTGGCAAACTTCTGTCTTCAACATTTACATTGTGATTCATAACAGTACCAAAATTACAATTATGAAGTAGCAATGAAAATAATTTTATGGTTGGGGGGTCACCACATTGTGAGGAACTGGATTAAAGGGTCACAGCATTAGGAAGGTTAAGAACCACTAGTTTAACTTAATTGGGGGGCTCCCGGCCAGTAAGAGACTCAATAAATAAATAAAACAAAACCCAAAACAGGTAGATGGAATTTGAAGAATAATACCCCAGTTTACCATCTTACCTGCACAATATGTTCCTGTGAACATGCATATGTGCATACACACACATTTCAGGCTATTAATATTAAACCTAAATTTATTTATTTCAAAATGAGTTAGGCTGATGAATATGACTTAAGCCAGGCCTGCTATAAATAGGTAATTATCACATTTCTCTGGGGTTCAGCAGTACTGGAAAAAGTTGCTGACAAGTGAGGCCCTTGGGTCCTCCCCAACTGCCAGGAGATTAACATCTCAGACATCCCATAAAGGCAGACAAAATACCAGCATGGCAACTCACAATGTGGGAAGTTGTGGCTTGTATGGTCTAAATAATAACAAAGCAATAGGCTTTACCCAGCTACACAAGTCTGATGATTTAAGGCAGAGGTTCTCAATCTTCCTAATGCTATGACCCTTTAATACAGTTCCTCATGCTGTGGTGACCCCAACTATAAATTTATTTCTATTACTATTTTATAACTGTAGTTTTTCTATTAGTTATAAATCATAATGTAAATATCTGATATTCAGCATTCTGATATGCGATCACCCCCTCCCCCCCAATATGGTCATGACCCACAGGTTGAGAACCAAGATTTAAGGGAATACATAATCAAGCTGTAGTCACTTTGTTGCTGTCATCCACAACCTGTATGCAATGTATTTCACAGTGGCATGGGGAGACTGGTTTTGTTGGTGGATGTGAATCTGTTACAGTTCTCGCTGTATGTAGAACCACACAGGCAATTCTCTGTGCCTATTTACGTTTAGAGGGATAGGGAGCATTACCAAGGTTATCATCTAAAAATAACAAAAGCTACTCACAAAGCCAAATTCTGTCCCCGTGAGTCCTACTCTGTTATCTCCGAAGCTGTGCTTGAAAGAGGTGTCTCCAGTACCTAAGTCCCACGGAGACTGTACTTGCCCTGACCCCAAACCATCTGAATGGCTATGAATGGATTTCATTTCTTTAACAGTGGCGTCATCAAGTAGGCCGGAGGTTTACTTCCTCCCGCTAACACTCCTTTTTATCTGTTTTCATTCTTATTTGCTATTTTATGTCTGCTTTAAATAAAACTAAGGTTGCAAAGCCTCTCTTTAAAACAGAGCCATCATTTTTCTTTTTATTTATCGGCGTGAGCAGTAGAGATGCAGAAATTGCATTCTGAGATCACAACACTCTTCGATTTGACTCCTTAAATTGAGACTCTTTTGTCTGTCTCTCAAAAGAAACACTTTAGTGTTTGCAGTTGCTTGATAAGCTAACTGGAATTGAACAAATCTCCCAGTTGGATATTTCCTAAAATGTAGCAAAACATATTTTCAGGTGAATTAGAAAGTGAAAAAATAACAGGAAGACAATTTTTATAATTTTTAAATAAATTTTTCTTCAAGAAGTTCATACACAGACAATGAAATGTGATCATATTTGCCCCTATTGATCCCCCCAACTTCTCTCCTTATCTCCCACTATACATCCCTTTCCCAACTTTTAATGTGTTATATGTGTGTGTGTGTGTGTGTGTGTGTGTGTGTGTGTGTGAGAGAGAGAGAGAGAGAGAGAGAGAGAGAGAGAGAGAGAGAGACCACACTAAGTTTGATTCGTGTTGTCCATATATGTATGTGGGTATGGGAGGGTGAGGCAATCGATTGTATTCTTTCTATGATATGAGTTTTCTTTCCATTAATCAATTAGCATATTTGAGTGTGTGTATGCGGGCATGCATATGCCCCTGTGAGCATCTGGGCGTCAGGGACAACTTACAGGGATCGGTTCTCTCCTTTCATCGTGTGGGTCCCGGGGATTGAACTCAGATTGAACAAGGCTTGACAGCAGGTGCCGTTGCCCGCTGAGCCACCTCATCAGCTGCCTTTAGTTTTGTGATGAAAACTGAATGGTTTCCATTGTTTGTCTTCTCTGCTGTGACTTGTTTCGATGAAGTTCTTGTTCTCTCTCTCTCTCTCTCTCTCTCTCTCTCTCTCTCTCTCTCTCTCTCTCTGTATGTGAGTGTTCATGTTGAGGATCTCCCTACAGCAAGCTGAGATAGGGTTTCCAGGATGTTCTGACTGAGAAATGCAGGGCAACTTGTTGGAACTAGATCATGATGTGTACTGAAATTTTAGTGCGTTCATTTTAGCGAAGGTTAATTTAAGATTTAATGGGGCTGGAGAGGAGATGGCTCAGAGGTTAAGAGCACTGGCTGCTTCTCCAGAGGTCCTGAGTTCAGTTCTCAGCTACCTTATGGTGGCTTATAACCATCTATGTTGGGATCCAGTGCCCTCTTCTGGCATGTAGGTGTACATACAGATAGAACATTCATATACATAAAATATATAAATAAGTCTTAAAAAACAAGCCGAGTAGTAGTGGCATATGCCTTTAATCCTAGCACTTTGGGGTCAAAGGCAGGTGGATCTCTGTCAGTTAGAGGCCAGCCTCGTCTACAAAATGAGTCCCTGGACAGCTAGGACTGTTACACATTGAAACCAGAGAAAGCCTGTCTTGAAAAACCATTTTTTTAAAAAGGTTTACTAATTGGAATTTAACATCTATACTTATGGGAAAAAATCAGAAAAAAACATTCATATTTTGTAATATGTGTTAACTGTTCTGCTTTGTGGGTAATGAAGTTGTTTTTTATTTTATCTTCCCAGGAAACCGTGGCAGCTGAGAAGAAGAAGCAAATGGTTACGGAGCAAATGATGATAGACCACTTATCCAGGTGAGACTAGCTACTCATACCAAATCTGTATTCAGAAACTGACTACAAAATATCTTTTTCATACAAAGCACCTATATTCTTGTCAACCAATGTCTAGCTGATAGCAGTTCCCAAACTTTCTGTTCACAGCAGTCTTGTCATTTTAGTGACTTTAAAAAAAAATAAAAACACTCTGAGATGAGTAGAAATACTTAACATTCAGTCTGGGGAGACAGTTCAGCCTGTGAAGGGCTTGCCATGTAAGCGAGAGGACCTACTTTAAATCCTCAGAACCAATGTGAAAAATCCAGGCGTGGGAGCAAGTGGGCTGTAGTTTCCATGCTGGGAAGGAGACAGGTGGGTCCTTGGGCCTTGCTTGTTAGCCAGTCTAGCTTACTTGGTGAGCTCCAGGCCAGTGAGAGACTCTGTCTCAAAAACCAAGAAGTGGCCGGGCGGTGGTGGCGCACGCCTTTAATCCCAGCACTCGGGAGGCAGAGGCAGGCGGATCACTGGGAGTTCGAGGCCAGCCTGGTCTACAAGAGCTAGTTCCAGGACAGGAACCAAAAGCTACGGAGAAACCCTGTCTCGAAAAATCAAAAAAAAAAAAAAAAAAAAAAAAACCAAGAAGTGTTCTGGGTAGTGGTGGTGCACGCCTTTAATCCCAGCACCTGGGAGGCAGAGGCAGGTGAAGCTCTGTGATTTCTAGGCTAACCTTGTCTACAGAGCGAGTTCTAGGTCAGTCAGGGTTGTAAAAAGGAACCCTGTCTCAAAAGTAAAAAAACAAACAAACAAACAAACAAAACCAACCCATCTCCCCCCAAACTGGGAGGGTGGATCCTGAGGAATAACACCAGAGTTTGGTCTTTGGAGCACACTCACATGGGTACATACCTGCACCCATGTGCTCACATGATCATGTAATTACAGGCATGCAGGCCCAGATGCTCAAGCATGTGTGCTCGCACACACACACACAGTTAAAAATTCTCCTTATTGATTTTATTAAGTATTTTTATTTAAACAACTTAATTATTTCCTTCCAGCTAATGAATATTTGAATTACATTATAAATTAGAAGATGGCATTTTTAAATTTCAGTCTTAGATTTTTGTATGCTCCTTTTGGGCACCGTAGAATCATTTAGAGTTACCCTCTGATCGATATTAATTGTCACATGACATTGGTTTGTTGTCATAGCACCCGTAGAAAACGTGCCTTTCAAAGTTGTGATATCATTTAAGGAGATTAGTAAGGCATCTTTCTGAAACTAGGACTCACCCTTGAGCCAGTTGCTATGGTTTCCAAATGGTGATGAGCATCTTATCTTTATATTCATTAGAAATGAATATCCCACAGAGTCACTGTGGTAACCGAGATGACTGGTGTAGAGTTGGGAACTGTGGCTGTGACTGTCAATAACTTGTAAATCCCTCAGAAAGCAGTGTGAAATATACATAAAATAAATTGAAGCGTGACAAAAAACATGCTTCATTTGGGGGCTATCCACATTTCTTTAGCTTATTCCTTTTCTTCCTTTTTCTTTTCTGCATTTGGTGCTGGAGTTTGAACCCAGGGCCTTCCCTATGTTGTCTGACGTGCTGACAAGTTCTACAAAGTCACTGTCTGCAAGATGTCTCTTTCTTTTCATAAGAGAAGTGGTGATGTCATGTCGTTGGTTAAAGGACTTCTTAGTTCTCAGTGTCTTCGCCCATCATCAGTGTTTGTCCCCATTGAGAACGTTAATCTTTTTGAAGCAATGTTCTTCTATTTGCCTGCCTTGTGCTCACCTCACTTGGCTGTTCTTGTTGCAGCCACTTATTCTCAGTTCTTGTTCATCCATAGTCACTAGATATGGTCAATGAATTCCATCTCCAACATATTTACCTTCTGATTTCAAACTTCTTCTATATTCCAGTGCATCATTAATCTTCAAGATTGTGATTTCCCTTTTTTCTAATCTAAATTTTCTTACATGACCAGCTCTTTTAATTTTCCTCCATGGCAATTCCATTCTTGAAATTATTTAGTCCTCAGTCCCCAAGTTTTAGTGATGCCTTTGACCCATTTTTTTTTTCTCAACTCCAATATCAACTTGACAAAGACTCAGTTCTAGGAAATTAAGTTCATTTCTTATATTGCCACCCTTCTTCTTGTTGCCACTTCTTAGCTCTTGGATAATTTGTTTCAGTTCCTACTGGCTTTCATTGGTTCTTTATTAACATCTTATTTATTTATTCTCAACTCACTCACTAGAGTGAAACAGTTGGAAGACAGGCCAGATTAAATCATTAATCAATTACCTAGCTCAATCTCAGGAAATTCAATAATTTCTTGATTATATAAAATGTCAAAATTTAGTAGCTAAAACTAATTTTTTTTCCATGTGTCTTCAGGCTAGACTTGGTTGGTATCCTATTGAGGGTTTCTATTGCTGTAAAGAGACTCCATGAACACAGCAGCTCTTATAAAGGGAAACATTTAATTGAGGTGGCAAGTTACAGTTTCAGAGGTTCAGTCCATGTGGTAGTTTGAATGTCATTGCCTTCCAAAAATCTCATAGGGAATGGCGCTATTAGGAGGTGTGGCTTTGTTGGAGTAGGTATGGCCTAGTTGGAGGAAGTGTGTCAGCTGTGGGGGTGGGGCTTGAGATTTCCTATACTCAGGATACTGCCCAGTGTCTGCACAATGTAGGACTCTCAGCTACTTCTCCAGCACCATGTCTGCCTGCATGCCACAAAGCTCCCTGCCATAATGGACTGACTGAACTGCTGAACTCTATGCTGCCACCCCAATTAAATGTCTTCATTTATAAGAGTTGCATAGTCATGGTGTCTCTTCACAGCAGTAAAAACCCTAACTAAGACAGTCCATTATCATCTTGGTGGCGAGCATAGTGGCATGCAGGCATACATGGTGCTGGAGAAGGAGCTGCTACATGTTGATGTGCAGGCAGCAGGAAGTAGACTGTCACACTGGGAGTAGCTTGAGCATAGGAAACCTCAAAGTCCACCCCTACATCCCTATGGAGGCCATATTTCAAACTACCACAGCAGGTATGATGTCACTGATTACTTAGACAAGTCATATATGAACAAAAGAAATGATATAAGCTCTGAGCTTAGGCCTTAAGAATCTGCATGTATTTCTGTTTATACTTTTGTGTTTTTATGACAACAGGACAAATGGCCATCTGGTGGCTGACATTTTCCAACTGCTTGAAAATAAGTGAGCACACATTTTGTCATGCTAGACACTAGATTTTGTGTCTTCCTGCCTAGGGCTGTCATCAGTGATCCAGAACAAGGTTTAAACACTGAGGAACAAGAGAGTTCTCATGTCCCTCCAGACTCAGAGAGGGCGCCACTTCGAGTTAGGAGACGAACTCTGCATGAAACGAAGTAAGCAAAGTTTAACGATGCATTGTTGAAATACATTTCTGTACACGTCCCTGTTTTTAAAACCATATAAAGAGCAGTAAAAGTTTTGAGACTTCAGATCTCAGTGCCATCTCCTTAAAATTTTTATTCTACCTTCTGTCCTTGCATTCCGAGTTTCTACATTTATAGTTTAGAAGGAAAGTCACAATTTTTCAGGATAGTGTATACGTGAAAATGAGCAATATAGTAATTTAGACACCTCTGCCTGGGATGATACCCTGGCTAAATCAGACTTACGTAATATACAAAGGACCATCATTCCAGACATGCCCTGCCTGTTAACTAGTTCATTTCGTTCTAGATCCCTAGGAGGGTAACCATGCCTTTGACACATACTCTAGGGGTCTTATGAGATCCTAACTGTAGCCATTAATGGGAATTTTTCCAGTTCTTTGGCATAGCCCACTGAACTTAATGACTTTGCTGACAATTGACATTCAGCCTCATATTTGATAGGAAATCTATTGTACACAATAGCTCTTCTATCTTTTCAGACTGCTATAAATGTTTTTCTTACCATTTTGTCTCATTCTTAGCTTATTGTTTATACATTCAAAAGTTTGAGGGATAATGTGCTAGATTCCTGTTGTCACAGGAACACATTCCTATGAACAATGCATTGCTGTGAACAGTATTTTAAGACAATGAAATTTATTCATATACATCTAGAGATACAAAGTCTAAAAACAAGGAGCTGACTTAGTCATGTCTTTCACAGCTTCTGAGGTTTTCTTTATTCTTGGACTCATGGCCCCTTCTTCCATCTTCAAAGTCAGAACTTATGATACCACACCACTTTGACACTCCATTGTAGATAAAACTTTATCGCATGCACCACACACACACACACACACACACACACACACACACACACACACACAGAGAGAGAGAGAGAGAGCTGTATTGAACCTGCCTGAATAACACAGATAATCTCCCTATGGTAGGATCTTCAACTTAGTAACATATTCCAAGTTTCTTTCATTATGTATGGGTAACATTTCCACATGTTCTGAGTGTTAGTCTATGCTATCTTGAGGGGGTGAATCATCACTTATCTACTGTATATCTAATATCCATACTGTATATTTAAGTGGTTTCCTTTTAAAGTAAATTGCAATGAGGCATAATTTCAAACAGTGTACACATTTGAAATTATGATATAGGAACCATGACAAACAGATCAGTATTCATGTGTCCAACTCCCACATGGAGACATGAACAATACCCCCATAAGTACCACTGCCCTGTCTCATTCTTCTCCACTTCACTGCTGTGTCCTGTTCCTACTATGTCCTAACCCTATCGATTAAAATTAAAAAAGAGAAGTCAGAAAATTTGGTCTCTACGGTTTAAAGTTTTTTAAATTTTATTATGTGGATATGCATATCTCTGTCTGAGTATGTTTACTTTGGTGCCAGTGCCTGGGGGAGGTAGAGAGATTGGATCCCCTTGGTGCTCATAACACACAGTTATGAGAGATCCGGCGTGGGTGCAGGGATTCAAACTTGGATCCCCTATAAGAGCAGCTCAGGTTCTTAACAGCTGAGCCATCTCTCTAGCCCTGGATCGAATCCCCACCCCCCTGCAATACTATCTATCTGTTTGTCTGTCTTTCTTCTTTACTGTCGTCATCATCATCACCATCATCATCATCGATATAATATGATGTTTTATAAAGATTCTCAATGAAGCATGTCTGATGCCTTTTCCCCAATATTATCTTTAGGAATGTCATCCATGCTGTCATGTATAGTTGTTTTTCTCATTCTATCCATCATTCCATTATATGAATATATCACAACGTATGACTCACAGACCTTAACATGCCTAGTGAGTCATAAATTATACCGCTGAGAACTTGCTTGTGCATGCCTCCTGGTAAAAACGAACACTCCCTTATGCTGAGTGAATACTTTGCCTTTATGGACCATTTAGTATGCCCACGTTCAGCTCTACATGACACTGGCAAATAGTAACCCTGGAGCCGGAGGCAGGGTGAGTGGTCTAATTGCTGTCTGTCTTGGCCAGCCCTTGGTATTGCCTGTCTTTTTCATTGTCTTTCTCATTCTAAATGCACCTTGGTGATTTTATTTTGCATCGTATTGGAGACTAATGATGCTGATTAATTTTCACGTGTGCATTGTTCATCCAGATGTCCTCATGTGGAGTTTGACCAGTTTTCCAACCTATTCTTAGATTGTTGGTACACTTTGTCGCATCTGTTTCCTTGCACCTCTCCAAGTATTGCTTCACACCAAATACACGCAGCTCGTTTAAAGGCAATCTGGTTCAGAAAAATCCCATGGGGGTTGTTGATTGGGATTTTCAGATCCATGGCTTCCTAATCTTTTGTTTTCACCAGAGAAGGAGGAAGAGGAGGAGGAAGAAGAGAAGGAGGAGGAGGAAGAAGAGGAGGAGGAGTGTCCCCTTTTCTCTGGGGACAGCCTCCTGCAAATGCATACGTTCCATTGTTGTGCCTAACTTTATAGGTTTTTCACCAGTAAAAAGAAGCAGCTAGTCTGTGTAATTCTAGGGCCAAGCAGTTAGCCTGTTGTTGCTGCATACCTGAACCATGTTTTCCACCAATGTTGTCAAACAGTTATCTTTAGTTAGCGTTCAATGTGCTTAATTCTTCTTTTTGAACGGATTCAGAACTTACATAGAGAAGCATGTGTGCTATTTAGTGGGCACCTCAAACCTAATGTGGCACTCTGCATTTCATAATATAAATATGTATTTGCTTATATCCTTTTGCGATGACTCCAGGCTCCTTGTTGCAATTACCTCACCTCTCTCACCTTTGCTCATGACTAAGAAATAATAAATTGTAATGATAAGAGCACGGTTGTTTCCAAATCTGTCATGTAAGCAATGACCTATCCTGTCTTCCATGATAAATAGGTTTATTAAACAGGGATAGTAGCACTTACCACACAATTTTATTTTTAAATTTTATTGCAAGCATTAAATAAACCACTGGATATTAAAGTGATTTGATGGTGACTAGTGTCTACAAAGTCCTCAATAAATGGCAGCCAGTCCTGCTGCCGCTGCTCTTTTCCCAGCATTTAAAGTCATTCCAGGAACGTAGCGAATACTCTATGACTTCATTAGTTCCAGTGGGTTACACTGAATTGAGATGCTGCAGCCTTCAGGGCTCCTCCCTGTGTTCCCAATCTCTCTTTGAGTTAGCAGACTTTTGTTTCCTAGCTCCAACTTCTATTCTGTGGGTGTTAGAGGTGTTAGAGGGCCAAAGCTTTAACTGTTTCCAGTGACTGTAGTCTGCATTCTTACTATTATACCGTTGCTATTTCATTATTCCTGCAGTTTTCATAGGGCTAGATGAACAGTAATGGTACATCATTAACTTTTCTTCCTTCCTTCCTTCCTTCCTCCCTCCCTCCCTCCCTCCCTCCCTTCCTTCCTTTCTTTTTTGAGACAGGGTTTCTCTGTGTATCTCTGGTTGTCTGGAACTCACTTAGGAAACCAGGCTGGCCTTGAACTCACAGCAAATCACCCGCCTCTTCCTCCCTGAGTGCTGGGATTAAAGGTGTGCACCACCCCCACCTAGCTATCATTGACTCTTATCCCTTAAGGTAAAGGACATCATTAAGTATAGGGTATCCAAGGGCGTCCATTCTAGTTTTGCTTCATATTTTAAAGACTTTTAGGGCTAGGAATCTTTAGAAGGTCAGCAATTCTCTACAGCAACGTAGAGAATGAAGACATACAGTTGATAGACCCCAAAGCTTGAGCTTGGTTCATTCATCCAGCACGCTTTCTCACCATTTTTTTTTTCGAGACAGGGTTTCTCTGTGGCTTTGTTCCTGTCCTGGAACTAGCTCTTGTAGACCAGGCTGGCCTCAAACTCACAGAGATCCGCCTGCCTCTGCATCCCAAGTGCTGGGATTAAAGGCGTGCGCCACCAGCGCCTGGCTTTCTCACCATTTTCTGGTGAGGAATAGAATCAGCTGTTACAGACAGTTTGAATGCTTGGGCTCAGGGTGTCAGCATTTGCCCTCCTGTGTAGTAACGTAGTGACTTGGAAGTAGGTATATGTTGTTTTGGTCATACGGCTCATGGTGCTACAGCTCTGGCTGTAGATTCTGCCATCTTGCTCCCCTTACTGTTCACAGGCAGGGAATTCTACCCATCCTCCCATCTCACAAGGAAAAGAATCTTTCACGTGAGGTTAATTCTGCTTTTGTTGGTCACAATTGCAGGTGGTAAGAAACCCAGCACGATGCTGGGAGGAAGGCACGAGAACAGGGTTAGAAATGGGTTCTGAGCTGGTGGGCAGACTCAGGTCTGTAGCCCCAGCACATGCCAGGGTAGCACAGATTAGATAGTAAGGGTGTAATAGCAAAGAAAGGAAATGAAGGAGAAGACAGTGGCGTAGCTCAGGGCGCAATGTCTTCTGTGTCTTTATATATTCATATTCTGAATTTTCATTTTCATTTTTAATCTGTGCCCTTTCAGAATCTTGCCACGACCCTTTTGTGCACTTGACGTTTGTATCAATTGCGATTGCTCTAAAACAATGACTTACACAATGTATTTTGGCAGGATAAGAACCACCTCCACATTAACAGAGAATGACCTTTCTCAGAAAGTAGAATTTGATGGGAGGGTCTTATCAAGGTAACTGCCACTTTATCAGTTTTTTTTTTACTTATAATAATATATTCTCTTCTTTCATAGAAATGTCAAGATTAGATAAATTTATACTAATACTGAAATATGTGAATTTTGGGGTTATAAAAATTTAAGCCATAGCTTTATGGTTATATAAAACAGGACACTGTGAGATAAATATTTTAAGTAAGAATATTTAAAAGTAAGACTTTTGAAAAGATTGGATTAATAAGGGTATTATGAATTGATGATTCTAAATCATTTAAAAGTTAATTTTTATGTCCGATGGTTAATTTAGTTTTAGTTAACAGATTGCTGATAGAGCCAATGACAAAGAAGATGGCTTTTTAAAATTTTTTTACCTCAGTCTTGTAAATTTTGCAAGCTTAACGTTTTATCTTAAGTCTCTGTAGCTTAGCAACCTGCGTTGTGACAGAGCCGGACGCTCCGCTGTTCAGCTTATGTCTTTTCATAATAGACAGATCCAAACCTATCTCAGTCGGGGCTTTTCACAAACTGTGGTGTGTTTCCCACAAACCCGTGTGACCCGTACTCACTGCCACACATTCAAGAGACTTAAGTAATTGCTGCTTGAGATGAATGCTCTTAGTTTCCTATTTAATTTTAAAATCACTGTATTTTAAAATCATTGACATCGTTTTGCTAGAAATGGACGCGATGCCTGCAGAGAACTGATCGGGTTTTTCTTTACCCATGACCAGTCCCTAACCGTGTATGAATATCGAAAGTTCGGGAAGAACAGGTAGGCTTTGAAACACTGTTAAGAACCCTAGGGAACTGCTTTCCAAGAGGAACTGGATGACTTCATTTTGTTGCCGCTGTTGTTGTTTAACTTCTAGAACAAATGTGCTTCCTTTCATTAAGAAAGACATTTATAGTCATCAGTGTGGACGCAGAAAAGGAAAGCAGTACCGGCTCGGCGACTTCTATACTGTAAGTTTGAGTGTGCGCTGGCACTTCGCGCCTTGTGTCGGACTATGTGCATCGCTCTGGTGTGGAGCAGGGGTGCGGGTCCAGTTTATTTTCGCGAGCAGAGACATTTGTGTGAATGGCGAATGGTTGTTTCCCAAGAAGGTTCTGCCTCCCAGACAAATCCCAATCATAATCGTAAGCATAATATTATAAGAAGTTATATGTACCTCAAATGGAGAAGAAAGTGTCTATGGCAATTATTAATTTTCTAAAGGAACTCTTCCAAGAAGGAGGAAAAGAAAACAGCCCCTTTATCCTTTTTTTCCTTATTTTTCTTCGTAGGAAGAATGAAACCTCTTTTATTGAGTTTGTATTTGCCCTTACATTGGTCACAGGTATAGGAGAGCAATTCTGAAATTGTTACAGTAATTCTGTTGTTTGGGTTAAGAATTTTTGGTAGGAATTTTGTCATTGAAACTTTGATGCTCTAATCAGGTTAAAAGTTGGTTTTGTAATGTCTATCATTCAAAGACCAAGCGAAAGAGTACTACAATCAGTCTACCAGAGTTCCCTGTTCTTTTTTTTTTATTGATTTTTATTGAGCTCTACATTTTTCTCTGCTCCCCCAGAGTTCCCTATTCTACACAGCATCTTTCTGTGAACCAAGAGGTCTGGCTTGGGGATTGTCTTATGTTTTTTCCCCTGGCTGTAGCTGTGATGAAATACCATGATGTCACGTCCACAGCCAGGCGCAGAGAGCAATGCACTGTCAAGGCAAATGTGATTTGCTCAGCTTACTTTCTGCAGTCCTAGACATCCAGGATCCCCTGTCTAGGGAATGATAACACCCACAGTGGATGGGTCTTCCCAACTCAATGTTAACAAGATAGTTTCCCCTGCCATCCGTGCTCATTGTTCAGCCTAAGGTAGTCTTGCTTTGAGACTCCTTACCCAGGTGATGGGGAAGCTCTGTCTACCAATCACATCTAGTTAAGGTGTGGCTACCTGGAGCCCAGGAAGAAAAACTATGAGGACCCAGGTGTTCTCTCTCTCTCTCTCCTCTCTCTCTCTCTCTCTCTCTCTCTCTCTCTCTCTCTCTCTCTCCTGCTCCCATCAGACAGATAGAAAGTCAGACCTCCCACTCTTATAGCGTGAGTTTCCCCTTATAACCATTAAAATATAATTGTTATTCTCGAGCTGGCTTGGTTGTTTATTGTACCAATCTAATTTGCAACAACTGTGCATTATGTCATGTTGACAGAACTAACCACCACAGGGATGGCCACACATTCAGTGGAGTTCACGTAATATTTTCTGTGGTTCTTATTTAATATATGAATTCTCCTTTATTCAGGTGGATTATTATATAGGAGTAAGTATACTGTTTTAGGTTATTTTTAATTAGCTCATGTTTCTATAGTATTAGCTGGAACCATGTAGTCCTTAACTATTCTTCAAATCTACTATATTTTGGTGACTAATAGAATATCCTAAGGCAATTATAATAAAAAATTAAATCCCTTCAATCAGAATGAGTTGTATTTTAACTTTGGATACCTTCTAGCTTTAAAAAATCTGTTTGTTCATTTCCTCAGGGTGCAACTTTGACATTTTTGAGCTGTGATCATCCCAGCCTTCCAAAGAGCATAAAAGAAAATACATTATTTAGACTTCGAATTACAAATATTGATCAGATAGCTTTGAGTTCTCTGAAGTAAGTCAAATGCATTTGTCATTTTGAAAAAAGTGAAATCACTATAGTTTTTGTTCCCATTACAAAACACTCCTACTAAAGTTAAGGTTTATATCTACAAATAATAGCTGCATATATCTATTTTATGTTCTGTATTATAATCAAATTCATTTCCATGTTTGGAAACAGTTATGACCAGTAAAATTAAAATTGTTTTATTTGTTCATTTGTTTTTGCTATTTTACTAAATGCTATCAAAGTTGTGCTTTCAAAGACAGGGTGTCAGACCAACATTAAAACTTACTTCCTGCATGGTTGGTGTGATGCCTTTGATCACTGAAAAGCTATGGCCCCTATGGTGATGCTATTAATTGATTGACTAGATAGTGAAAAAATGCTACGAACGAACAATGACATCAAGGGTTATTTTAAGTAATAGAAATACACACTCTTCTTGTTGAATGTTTTCTTGACCCTACATATAATCAAAATGGTAATAATTGATGTATTGTATATATAAGAGAACACAGTCTACAGTCTAGTTGTAAGAATATTTGTCACTTATTATTGCACTTTCATGCCTATAAAAGTGTTTTTACAGTTTATACTTTGCAAGCTACAACTGCTTTTAAAATGAAGTTACAGTTAAGTATTTGAAAACGTTAAAGCAGTTGTAAACGCTAATGTCCTCAGAGATTGTGGCCCTTTCATAGCTCTGGACTTAATTCTCCATAAAACCAATAGCAGTGGACAGAGGTGGGATTTCCTCTAGCTTGTACTTCTCCAGGTCTGCTGAGAGCATCTTTGGAGTGGGGAAACACGGCTTAGAGGTCTGTTCTCATTGCAGAACTGCCTCTGTGGAACACGAGGAAGACACGGCCAGCCAGGAGGCACAGGATCGGCAGGTGCTGCTGGCCATCCAGGGTATGCTGAGTTCTTCTCCACTCTCAAACACTGTTTATAATTCTCAACTAGTTTCTGTGTTATCAGTTCAAACAGCATTTTTATTACTTCCACGTTTTATAGACTTTAATTTATAATTCTAGTTTCTTAGAAAGTATATATATTCTAAAAAGAGTATATCTTTTCATTATATGTAATATATAATATTTTTTTATGGGGCTAGGCAGATGACTAAGCAAAAAGAAGACCTTGTTGCTACTCTAGAGGACCTTAGTTTGGTTCACAACACCCACACTGAGTAGCTCACAACCTTCTGTAGCTCCATCTCTGGGAGATCTCATGCCCTCTTTTGGTCCCTGTGATCACCCATAAGCATGTGTACATGTACCCCACACAGACAAAAACATTTGTAAATAGTTAATAAAATATATCTTGACATGCAAATATATGACTAATAAAATAGCTATTAAAATATGTTCATGATTTTTCTGTATTAATGATACTAAATAAAAAGCATGTGTATTATAACAGTAATTTTAGAAATATTAGATACTATGGTTTTAATCATAAGCTAAATAAAGTCTGAAATACTATACATATATGTATAGACACACACAGAAACACAGACACACACACACACATACATATAGGCTCATACTGTAGATTAGGTGGTAAATTGGTACTCACTTATTCACTGCAGACCGGGCTGGCCCGGAACTCATGGCAATCCTCTCACCTCCACTCCAGAGCTCTTGGATTATGGGCATGAACCACTATATGCCAGTTTTATGCCTCAGATGGCATCCTGAAGGGACTCCTGGTTCAGTGCCTGACTGTATGTCTCCAGGTCATGATCTACAGAATGGGTTCTGATGTCTGTGAACAGATCTCGCTGTCCAGTAGATATGCAGCTTTGTGTCGATTCTTTGCAGCTCTTCCTTCACCATTTCTTCCCCTACTGCTGTGTCATAGACGAAACAATTTTTGTCACTACTGAGGCAAGAGACACTTTTTCTTTTCTTTTTTTTTCTAGTGTATTCATTGTAATAGGATACAGATGGCATCAAATGAAATAGCTGTGCTACATGGAGAATTTAGGAGCCAGAACATGTAACCTCTAAGAATTTCCGGGAAAATAATGGTTATTGTGAATATGTGTGGACAGCCTAGTACTCCAAAACCTAGATGCACATCATGATCCAGTTTGAAACTTTCAAACTACTTAAAAATTTCTGAGCTGTTGTGTGTGCACATGGGTGTGTGTGCGTGCATGTGTGTATGTGTGCGTGTGCATGTATGTATGTGTGCGTGTATGTGTGCATATGCACTTGTGCGTATGTGCGCCCTTGTGTGTATATGTCACACATGTGTGCGTGTGTGTATGTGTGCGTGTGTGTGTCTGCGCATGTATGTATGTGCATGTGTGTGTGATTTGCCTGGCATCAATTTTGTAATTCAGTTGGTGTAAATAAAGAAATAAGAAAGACAGTGAGGATATGGGGCAGTTAGATAAAGGGGTCTAAACAAGAGAAACTAGAATTTCATTTGTAACATTTAGATTATTCTGAGTAAAGACTTTTTTTTTGGCGACGAGGATGGGATTAAAGACAATTTTATCTGTATGTAAAATGTAACAGTTTCACCACATGGTGGTGCTGTAGTCTTGGCAGATTATGAACGTATAGTACTGGCATTATCTTTACTAAAACATTCTTCTTTCCAAAGTCCCTTTTCAGTCCAATTTAAAGTTTTCATTGAATATCAAAGTTCCTTATTTTCATTATTATTAACTTGCTTTATTAAACGAGAAACAACTGCATTTTGATAGCTTTGTGCACAGAAGCAATAGTTTCCACGTCTCCGTTTATTAAACAGATAAACTAAAGGAACAGCTACACAAGAGAGGTGTCCGGATTTTGACTGGATTGGGAAAACACTTCCAACACTTGGACAAGGAAGGCAGTGGGCTTTTAGAAAAGGCAGAATTTCAGCAAGCTCTGAAAACCTTCCACTTAGAAGTATCTGAACAGGTATGTACTTTACATTACTTTCTATTGTGGGTGCATTCTTGCACGGCTGTTTTCACTTTTCTAATAAATTTCCAATAGCTCATTTGTTTCCTTTTTAATGCTTTGCCATCAATGTTAACACAACTCCCACTGATTTTTTTTTAAAGAATTTTGACTTTTTGTCTCTTATTGTTTGTGAAGTGTTTAACAGCCAGGCATGTGCTAACCTCTGAGATGACATACTCTCCACTCTCGTAACCTTTAAATGAGGAAAATGATTAATAATAGGTGCGTCAAATAGAGGATGCTTTGGGAACGCAGGTGGTACTCAGTTCTAAGCCAAGCCAGCCGGAAGGAGAGGGAAAGACCAAGGCAAGACCCCCGGAGAAGGATGCTTCCAGGTTGGGCTTTGAATAATGAGGAAGAATGGATGGATGAGGTAGAGAAGAGAGCCAAGAGCAGATCGTCATGAAGAGTGAGCACGGCTCAGACAATGATCATTTTGTAGAAAGGAGAAGTATGTTCCAGGCATGAACTGTGGCTCTGCCCCAAGCTGCAGGGGCCCACTTCCTACACACTCCTCATTCTGCTGTGAACAGTCTTGCACTAAATATGTGTGTGCTAGAATTTTTTTTCCTCATCATTTAGGCCACGGTTTTTTTTACAGACGAGATCTGCCATCTGATCTCCAATCCATTCTATAGCAACTTCCATTTTGTTTTCTTCACGGCTCTTTGTAGCTGCCTGTAAGTAAAATGGCACATCCCATCCAGATGGGGACCAGGGTGACTCCTGCTCCTGATCTTTCTTGAGGACCTTGAACTGAACCTAGCATAGCAAGCATGGAACCAATAGTTTATAGCTTGAGCAAGTAGATAGAAGAGTGGAGGAAATTAAATGTGGTACACGAACGCCTTGTGTTCTGTACTGGGAAATTTTGCTTGTATGTTACAAGTTTATGAGTGATTCAGATCAAGCATTTCATATACAAGATTCTCTTGCATTTTTCTTTTTTGCTAAAAGTGATCTTGCCACATGATCTATATTTCTGTAATTATGTAAGCACTCTGCCGACTGTGTCATGGCCCCAGCATATACAATATTTATTAATGATGAGAAATACAGGTCACCATAATGTATCTTTGTTAACATAAAGCACAAAAAATTAAATTCCCAAAAAGTCTTCTGTATTTACTCCATGTAACTATCCAGAAAAGAGAGCCACTTAGTTGTGTAATCTTACACAAGTGTTTTGACTTTCACTGAAGGCTTTGCCTGAGCAGTTCTGAGACAATAGCTATAGTTAGGGAGGCATGGGAGTGCAAATAAAAAAATTACATGGGGATTCGCTTTATCAAGTATAAAATTCTGTGTCAGTGTGATACTGTATGACAGTGTTGTGACATAATTGTCTTTTAGTTGGTTGTGATGATGACATTAAATCTTGCTGCCTGTCTAGTGATAACAACTCAGGGGCCATTCACCTTCACAACTTATATTCATAGGTAGAAAAATAAAACAATGATAAAAAATTAGAAATCTGTGGTATATTTTTTGTTAAACAAACAAGTAATCTATAACTGATAGAGGACTGGTGTCCAGATAATCTGGCCCTGTGTATATGGGAAAGTACTGTATTACTTCGATGCTTCTGTAATTGTTTATGACATATTTATAACTTGTGAATAATACTGTAGTTACCCGAGACTTCTGTCTTAGTTGCTTTTCTAGTGGCTGTGACAGAAATCCATGATCAAGGCAATTTATGAAAGAAATCATTTAAATTGAAGGCTCTTAGTTCCACAGAGGGTTCGAGTCCATGGCGCTCGTGCAATCATAGGTACATGCGGAAGGAGGTGAGGCTGGGTCTCACCGTAGAAGTAGATAGAACCTGTTTGTGAAAAGAAAGAGCCATTCTCTCTGATTTTAAATAAAATGTGATATGCTCCACAATGAACCAAGTTTATATAGAAATACTCCAGTGAAGTTAAAAGTCCATCTGGATTAGCTTCCGTTCTGAACATTGTGTAGACTTAGCCATATGCATTTTTTGTCACTTAAGTTATACTTCTTAATTCTTGAAGACATTTTTTTTTCTGAGCCTTTAGAGGTCCCTTTAAGTCTGCAATTCTTTGAGTTAAGTGAACACATTTGTCTCCTGTCCATTGTATTCATGATTTGTAAAAGTTAAACTTAGACTCAGTTTTAACTCAACTGCACATACACATATTTTCTTGGTAATGTATGAGACATTTTTACATGTAAAAACTGTGTAGATAATTGGGTGCTGGGGGGAATGGGGTAATTAGAACCTTAGTTTTCTAATTACCGTTTTATTTGAAAAAACTAGGAAGTGGAAGAGAATAATTTTTGAGTATTTATTTGCCAAGGTGAGTGTTTTAGTAACACTCTCATTTAAAGTTTGCTAAAAACATTGAGAATATATCTGAGGTTCAGGAAAGGAATGCTATAATTTCTTTTGTTGCCAGGATCACGGAATAGAAGGATGTATTAAGTAACACTTTTGTCAGAGAAGCGCTTGGGAATGGCAGTGAACAAACTGACATAATGTGTTTAGTTAGAATTCTGCTATTTAGTGTAAATTGGGGAATACTTTGGAAGTCATTCAAACCTTCTATGCTCCCAAGACCAGATGAAACTCTATGAATAGTCTCAGTATTTCAGAACCTGAATAGGCTTTCAAATTGTCACAGATATAAGTTAAAAATGGAGAACAAAATGATTCAAAACCAAGTACACAGCAACCATTGCACTTTATGTGAAAAGACACTGAAAGGTAAATGGTGGGGAGTGCAATGTATAGAGAGAAAGGAAGAGGTTGACCAGATGACATGAATTAGCATTTTAATAAGAGGATGAGTTTTGTCTATTGCACAGCCTGGTGAATAGTATCACAAATAATGTACTGTATGTTTAAAGATAGCTAAAACTGATTTTAAATATTCTTACAAAAAATACTAAATATCTGCAATGTCAGAGATAATATTTAGCTTGACTTGTTCTTTCTGCAGTGTATATGTACATTGAGATATCATATTAGGCTAATAATATATGCTATTATTTATCAGCAAAAAATTATGATAAGATTCTTAAGAATGTAGACCAGTGTAGACCAGATGGTATGCAAGAGGTTCTAGGTTCAACCCTCAGTAGTTCTTTGCCCTCAAATAACATACTTTTTAAAAGCATATATTGTGAGTTATCAGTCATTCAGAACAGGCCCTGAACCTTGCTTAAGTGTTTACCCCAGAATTCCTTCCACAGTTGATTTACTAGGTTTATCTGTAACTTTTTGAATTTTTTTCCTAAGTAGGTTACCTTGTCTAGGGCCATAGACAACGTTAAAAAAATGACTCTGATCTGTGAATTTCATAGCTAAAACATGTGATGGCATTTTCTGTGGGCATTTCTAGGATTTTGAATCTTCCTGGCTGATTCTGCAAGGCAATGGCCCCAGCAAGAACAAGGTTGATTATGGAGAATTCAAACGTGCCATTTTTGGTGAAATGAATGAATATAGGAAATCATTTGTTCGCAAGGTAACTGTTACCTGACCTCAAACTATTACATTTATTAGACTGTTAGGTCCATTGTTTAGCATCTTTAACGGGTCATCATTTAAAACATATTATATCATTTTAGATGGGTTTAGTAAGAGTTAAATTAAGCAAGCTTATATATGTACAATTCTACCTAGAATAAAACAAAATCATATGTCCTAGAAAAGATTTGATGAAAGAAAAGTAAAAGTAAAATCTTATTTTGAATTGTCTTTATAAATTATTAGTATTGTCCATTACTAGCTATCCAGCTATATTCCTGTGTCCAATCCTAAGCCTCGCTGGCTGTTCCTCAGAGCTAGTAGAGAGATTGCATCTGATGCATCCATTCTTAGCAATTCCAACTATTCCGGTGTGAGAGCTCAGCCTTCCTTTATGAAGATGACTGAACGTGTTCCTCTGGTTTTTCTGAGATGCATGTAAATTGTTAAAAAGAAAATAACAAAGATCATTATTAAGTTGGAATAAGTCCTGGAGCTGGAGACATAGATCATTGAGTAAAGTATCTCTAGTGCAAGTGTAAGGACCTGAGTTCAAACTCTCAGTTCTCGTGTAAATGTAGAGGTTGTAACACATGTCTGTAATCCAAGTACTCTTACGACAGGACGAGAGGCACAGGTAGGAAATCCCATGAGGCTCACAGTTGACTAGCCTGGACATGCATTACCTAACAACAAAGAGACCCTGTCTCTAACAAGGTGCCATAAAAGGACTGACCCCCTGCATGTTTGTGTTGCACACGCACATACATGCACACATTATACATGCATCACATACACACAGATCCCCAAGTTTTAAAATAAAAATTATACTATAACTTAGTACTTAATTGTTCTTTGAATACCATGGTGATAATTTTGAGTATCAGACTGGTCTATCAAATTGCTTTCTTGTAGTTTTTAGAATAGAAATCAAAGAAGGGCGGGCACGCTTGGCTTCCTCTGAGGGCTCTCTGTGGCTGTATCACTGTTTGTCATGGCTGCTCCCCTGTGCATTGTACTGTCTTTTGTTAAACGATTACCAGTCATCCTGGACTGGGGCCTACCCCAATGATTCTATTTTCTCTTAATTACTTCCTTAAGGACCCCACTTCCTCATACAGTCCTATTCTGGGGCATCTAAGTATTAAAATTCAGGAAAGGAATTTGGGGCACAATTGAATCTAGAGCTGGTACAAGGTTGCCGTGAATTAAATATTGTGAGTGATGAGGATGCGTCTGGTTTTAACTCCTGGCAAACACAGGCTGCCGCTTGAGGCTGCCGCTTTGGATAGATTGGAGAGTCTGGGTATCTTGTTTCTCTCTTAGTATTTTTAGTATGTAAAGTTGCATTGGGTTGGAAAGACAGTAAGTGAACCAGAAATCGGAAAGTCAGTGTTATGTTTTGAGAAATAAATGTTTCATCTGTTCATTGATTCTTTTGATACTGAGTTTGTAGCTTCGCTTTTGACCTAGCAATCAAACAAAACTTCACATAACTTCCTAGCTCTTTGTTTTGGTCATTTATCAATTTCATGAGTCCTGGCGCTGGAAGTTGCCAGGGGCTTTGACCCACCTCTTTGGTTCCCGGCAGGAGAGTGGGATCGGCTGTTTTCTGCAGGTCAGGATGCTCAACAGTGACCACATGACATGCTTGAATGAGGCATTCCCAGTTTTTGGTTTAGTCTCCTTCCTCCTCGTTTAATCAAGCACCTGTTTAATTCCTTCAAAATGTCTTGTTTACAGTTCAGAAACAAGCAGCTGCACAATTGCTCCTCATACTTAACGATTTCACAAAGAGAAACCCTGTCTTTCTTTAGGCCTTCATGAAACTGGATTTCAACAAAACTGGTATTGTATCTGTGATAGACATAAGGAAGTGTTACTGTGCCAGGAAGCATCCACATGTGATTTCAGGTAACTATCACATGCCAGATACATTTGGTTTTTACCGTGCTTATTAATAAAAGCGTCTTCTTAAAATTACACTAATCCAAAGCATCGGCTGGATTCAGGAAGGAAATAAAAGAAATTTTGTTTGAGGCAATGATTTTAGAGTCATTTTCCCTTCTCTCGTCTGTACTTATTGATTTCTTTGACAGTTATAATCAAGCTAGAACTCTCATTTCTTGTTTGGATGGTAAGGAATTGGGGTTTAAAAGAGATTTGGTAAAACTTTGGTTAGGCTCCCTTGTAGAACTACTGCATCTTTTGATACAGTTATTCATCCTTGAGGATTGAGGAGGGTTTGCGTCTGATCTAGGGGTGGAATTACATACACAATGGCACTTATGAATCTGTCAAAATCCAGCCTAGTGTGGCTGAACACAGCACTTAGGGAGAGGAAAGAGATGTGCAAATTTGAGGGCAGATGAGGCCACGTACTGAGACTTTACCTCAAAAACAGGAGGAGGGCATATTGAATTTCTTTCTTTTTTTTTTTTAATTTATTTATTTATTAAGGATTTCTGCCTCGTCCCCACAACCGCTTCCCATTTCCCTCCCCCTCCCCCGATCAAGTCCCCCCCCCCCCCCCATCTGCTCGAAGAGCAATCAGGGTTCCCTGACCTGTGGGAAGCACAAGGACTGCCCACCTCTATCCAGGTCTCGTAAGGTGAGCATTCAAACTGCCTAGGCTCCCACAAAGCCAGTACGTGCAGTAGGATCAAAAACCCACTGCAATTGTTCTTGAGTTCTCAGTATTCCTCATTGTCCGCTATGTTCAGCTAGTCCGGATTTATCCCATGCTTTTTCAGACCTAGGCCAGCTGGCCTTGGTGAGATCCCAATAGAACATCCCCATTGTCTTAGTGTGTGGGTGCACCCCTCGTGGTCCTGAGCTCCTTGCTCGTGCTCCGTCTCCTTCTGCTCCTGATTTGGACCTTGAGACTGAATTTCTTAAAGTAATTGTAAGTCCTTATTTCCTAATATAGTCCTTACTCTTTTGTGTAGTTGATTTATGACTACACCTTATCACAGTGTTTGGCCACGAAAACTACCTTAATTTCATTTTTTGTCTTCAAAAGAATAAACCTTGTAGCCCTGTAACATATCTCTCAGCCCTTACTCTTTGATTTTTCATAATCTGCTAACAGTTTGCAAATTTTTTTCTGACTTGAAAGCTGCATTAGAGTTACTGTTCTATAATTTGCTTTTGACTGATCAGTGTGTTTTGGAGCTATTTCCATGTAAATTCACATTGAGACATCTTAGTTTTATTTGCCACATATTATCCACTTAATAATAAACACATTGCAATGTGTACAGACATTCTTCTATTGGTGGACTTTTAATTTCTAATTATTTACGTGCATCTAATGACACATTCATAACAATTTCTGAATAAAAGTTGTCTATTTCTCCCCCTACTCCTCTTTCTTTTCCTCTTCTTTCTCCCCGTTCTCCTTCTTCTTTATTCTGAGACAGGATCTTGCCACGTATACCAGGATGGTCTCCTGCTCATGGCTTCCCTCTGTTTCTGCCTCCCGCATGCTTGGCTTCACAGTTTAAGTTATAAAAAAATACTCTATTTCTTACTTTCTTAAGTAATTTGTTAGAGGAAAAATGCTTTCATAATTTTGTAACTCTTTCTAGTCTGTTAGAGCAAGGAAAACAAATCCTGTCACGGATAATGGGAGACGGGTATTTCCTACGTGGGAGGTTTTAAGAAGTTATATAATTCTTGATATTTGAAGCATAAATTTAAATAAAACTTGTTTTAATTAGAAAATTTATGTTTCCTTATACATTAGATGTTGGTTAGATTTAGCTTTGACTAACAATCGCAAATCTACTTTATTATCTAGTATAATCTTTGCATAACTTTTTTTCATTTTAATAAAATGATCACCTATTTGTCATGCATGTTTTTAAATGACAGCAACATATTTTTCTTGAACTTATTTTTACATGTGTGTATGTGCATTTGTATTTGTGTGTGTGGGTATGCGTAAGTACTGAGGCTAGATGATGGTGTTCCATTCCACAGAGCTGGAGTTACAGGCCACAGTGAGCAATGCAATGTGGGTGCTGGAGGCCAAGCTTGGGTTCACTGGAAGAGCAGCAAGCATCCTTGATCACTGAGTCATCTTCCCAGCCCTCTGACTTAAAAATATTTTAAAGATCATTTTAAAGATCATCAATTACCTACTGCCATCATTTTTGCCTTGTTAATACATGCTTTTATTTGTTTTAATTTTGGATATTATCTGACCATTTTCTGTGACTTTTTATCTTTAAATCAGTGTACTATTATAAAACTTTTTTTCTGTACTAAAAGCTTGAGAATAGATCAATGTATGAAAGAAAGAGGAGGAATAGAGAGGCAGATTGTGGGAGAAATGAATTCTGGTTAATGTTTGGCATAAAAATTGAAATTATTGAAATTATTTCATAAGATGAATAAGTATCCCTTTATTATCATCCATCATTTTGCTGAACTTTTAGGGAAAATATTTCACAGTTATTCCTCTTCCTGCAGGGCATTCAACGGAGGAGGAAATCAAATTATCTTTTCTAGAGACATTAAGAGAGGCCTGCAGCAAGTCTGATGAAGTTTCATATGGTGAATTTGAAGATTACTATGAAGGCCTAAGTATAGGAATAACAGATGATGAAGATTTTGTTAGCATCTTATGTACTCCGTGGGGGATTTAGTCTTTAATAATGCACAAACTTATCGGCACCAAATATTTTATAGAAAGGGTGAATTTTATATGAAATGTGATCATCTTGTAGTATACTTTTCTATGATTCTTTTTATTTTTTTCCAAAAATGTTGAGTCTGGGAAGCCCTACTTAGAAACAGATGTAGATATGTGTTTGTAAGCATAAGTGCGTGTCTACTTGTCCAAATGTTTATAAAGACAGGCTCTTTGTGTTACTCCTTCTGCTTAGATTTTAGAAAAGTCATTAAAAATTAGCCTTAATAGAAAAGACATCTTCATTAAACTGTGTGAGGACTTGTATATAGTAATCAAGTTTCCTATCCTTTCTCAAGTTTCTTATGATCTTTTCCTAGAATATAGTTGCCAACGTATGTAATGACTTGGGATTCAGATCAAGGCTGAAATTGTGCAGATTCTTTGAAACATACAAAATATTAACATATATACAAAACAGTGTCATAATCAGTATGATTATAGGTGTTTTTCTGTGCACTATACTTTGAGCAGTTAGTGTTTACCTCACAGTGTTCGTTTAAAGAGATTTGTCAGGTATATTTTTGTCTATATAATTACATACTACTCTTTTTTAAGTGGTAAAAAACATACCATATTTTTCATTTTGAATGTCATATTATCTGTATACAAATGTTACTTATATATAAACAACAAAATGTAGAAAATATTGGAATGTAGAAATATTTTTTAGACTGTCATGAAGAACTCAAGGACAATTCAATATTTTTTAGACAAAATTTAAAAGCATATTTTGTGTCAAAAAATGAAGACATAGTATTCTAAACACCTCTTTTGGTACAATAAACATTCAGAACATTTTCTTCTAAATATGGTGTTTTATGTCTTCCTGTTCTACATGCATTCTTTGTAAATTGCATTCTTCACTTTTCCCTGGATGGAATGTCCTCAATGTTGGGGTTATGGATCTATAACTTTTAAATTGTTGTTAGTTTCTTATATAGATCTTCAATGATAATTAACACTTTAGGGAAAAGAACATGGAATAAAAATGTCAGTTAAGAAACTTACCAATGAGAACCTTTTTTCTATTTGTCTATCTATCTATCTATCTATCTATCTATCTATCTATCTATCTATCTATTTATCTACCTATCATGTCTGTCTGCCTATCTATCTATCTATCTATCTATCTATCTATCTATCTATCTATCATCTATCTACTATCTGTTTATCTATCTACCTGCCTACCTACCTATCATCTGTCTGTCTATCTATCTATCTATCTATCTATCTATCTATCTATCTATCTATCCATCTATTTCTGTTAGAGTTTCTGATATGGGTAAATCATTCTGATTTTGATTAGCTTCACTGCCAACATTCTTCTTAGACCCTGGCATAGTAAAAATGACTTAGTATACAGTTTAATAGAAGAGCCCTGAGGGAAGTGACATTTTCAAGCATTCATAACATCAACAATTTGTGTTTCCTGTTCCCAATAGTCTTTAAGATTCTGAAATACCTTCTATTAACTTTAAAATGTTTTACATTGTGATTTTGTTGTATGAGTAACGAATGGATTTTCTAATTAACTAGATATTTGTCATTTACTTGCCTAAGATAGTACAGAATCATTTCCCCAGTTCACTACAATAACATTATTGAGCAGTGTGAATTGATTGTACGGTCTCTATTCATATACCTTTCTTTTTACTGAATGTTAGGGAAATGGGGATATAACTAGGGCTTTTTGATTTTATTTTAATGGAAAGAATAGACATTCACAAGACAGAAGAGTCATAGGATATTCACAAACAGAGTAAAATAGGCACATCCCTCAAACTCTCTGGCCAGCCAGTCTAGCCCAAAGTGAGAGACCCAGAAACAGAGGACGAAAGATAACTGATATCTTACTCTAGTCTCTGCATAGGTGCACTGTGCACACTCACATGTCTGCATCATGCAAATATACAACACACAAATACACACACACACATACACACACACACACTTCCTTCACACCAATTACTGCTGCATGTTAGATAAATAAACCATTCAGTGACATAGTCATTAAATTTGTTGAGTACTGACATCAACACAATTGCTGAGGGTGTGGAGATACTCTAGGTTCTTCTCATACTACTAATACCATTCAGTCTTAGGTACTATGAGGTGTTACTTCTGAATCTGTCCTTTCTTTCATCCTCAATGGTCATGTCCACACTCTTAGCACTTTTCAATATATTTACGTGTATTTTTCCACATCAACTCTGTCTCTTCCCATCTTAACATGTGACACACATTGCTGTTGGGGTGACTATTTTCTTTTCCTATATTGGGGATTAAACTTCATGCATATTAAGTAGGAATTCTCCTAGAGAGCCATATGCCTCACATCTTGGAGTGAGTAAAAGTACTCCACAACATTCCACATCTTTCAAAAAAGTTTGATCTCCCAACTAACTCATAAAATCTAAATAATACATGCTCCTGATGCTTAACTACATATACTCAGAGAATCCTGCATACTCTTTTAGCTTTTCTGTATTCCTTAAATTTTTTAACTTGATTTTGACATTTCAAATCCAATACTTTCATACATGCTCTGTTACTGCCATCCAAAATGGTTATCTCTGTTTAGTAGATCCAAATTCATCCATTCCGGACTTTTAGTACCACCTCAAAAATGATGCTGTCTAAGATCCCCATTGCACACAAAGTATATCATTAGTATAGTATCTGCTACTACACACTATAATGCCATTTTGCTTATGTGTTTCTATTAGATGGGTAAATACCTTAAGGGCAGCAACCATATACTTGTGATCTTGGTGTCTAGTCATGTGTCTCCCATGGGATAGGAGTTATGCCAATGTTATTAGGCAACGTGTGTGATTTATTGAGTAGCAGCTGTTTACTGTGGGACAATGGTCTTGTTCTCTGTAACGATTTGTTACTTGTTTTAATAAAACACTGATTAATCAGTAGCCAGGCAGAAAATATAGAGGAAAGGCTCAGTCTGCAGTCGTCACCCAGACCAAGAGGAAGCAAGATGAGAATGCCTCACTGATATAAGGTACCTAGCTATGTGGCTAACAGACAAAAATTATGGACTCATTTAAGATGTAAGAGTTAGTTAATAAGAAGCCTGAGCTAACAGGCCAATGAGTTTATAAGTAATGTAGGCAGCTGTGTGTTTCTTTGGGACTGAACAGCAATGGGATCAGGCGGGACAAAAACCTCCATCAACAGCTAATTTGGGGTTCTTGCTCTTGAACAATTTTGCATTAAAATCTTCAGCAAAAACAATGCAAGAAGTCTAAATGTGCTTGTTCACACAAGTTCCACCTTGCAAATGCAGTAGATTTACAATGCAGAGTGAACTGTTATAGTTAGATAGAAATGATTTCTAGTGAGTTATTCAGTGAATGGTGACTATAATAAATGTGACATCTTGTGCACCTAAAATTGCTGAAGATAGATTTTGAATATGTTTTTAATAACAAATAATAAGTCGTTTGTCACAGCTGTACATGCCTATATTCCCAGCACAGAGAAAATAGAGGTAGGAGGATTGATTCTTCATTAATCTTTGCTATGTAGTGAGATTGGCAGTGAGACTCTGTTACAAAAATAATGAATGAATGAATGAATAGTAAACATGTGAAGTGATGGAATGTTGACTATTCTACATTGTAAACATGAATTAAAATATAACAATATACCCTATGAATATATACAACTATTTGTCCATTAAAATATAATAAACATGCTCAGATTTTTAGCTAGGTATTATGGAACTAAGGTTCCCTTCTCAGAAACCATGATGTTCAGTTACGAGGAACTCAGATTAACTTCAAAGGACTGAATGAAGAGTTTCCTATGTGACGGCAAATTCTATACATATAGGAGAAAGGGCCACGGTCCTTGCTGAATTTGTCATTTCCTTTTATCTTGTTAGAATGAGGTTTCTGAGGCACGGCTAAACTAGTTTAAAGATGAAGTGAAATGCCATTTGCCTTTGCAACAGCACACTGAGTTTCCTGGAATTCGTAGATGATATTAAAGCTAATATGAATCAAAAGGGTGCGTCTCAGGGGACTCACTGTGTCACTTATGCAAGCTCCACACTTACCAAGAAGATGGAAGTAAGAACTTTTTACTAAATATGAAAAGAGTAATTTTAAGAAAGCTTTCAGATGGCCATTCCACCAAGGAAAAGTATGTACTTGCATTAATATTTTAATATAGCTGATATGGTAGGGAGGACAGGCTTAGCAGTTCTGAAATACTGTTTTCAAACTTATGCTCTTCTCCAGATTACCTGCATGTGTTTGGGAAGATGCTCACTGGCAAGTGATGTACGGATTGAATAAATATAGCTATTCACAGATAGACATATATATATATATATATATATATATATATATGTATATATATATGTATATGTGTGTGTGTGTGTGTGTGGAGTGTGCACAGTTCAGCATGCAAAGTTTACTCCTACTTGTTTTTCCTGAAATAATTGATTGATTAAAAACTGTTATTATTTATTTACTGATTATCCCAAATGACAGTGACATGAGTTACTGCCTAAAGTGACATTAAGACAGAGATAATTTGAGACCAATTCCTTCTGAGTCTCTTATAATCCTTGTTATAGGTTTTAATTCTTTGGCAGAACTCATGAAAGAAAATTAAAATTAAAACTTTGTTTTAAGGCAGCCAGGTCTTTCCCTTCAAAAGCAGCAAATTTAAAACAGGTCTACCAGGGAACTACCATAGCTGATAAACTCCTTCATTGATGTGGCTGGATACAAGATTAACTCAAAAATATCAGGCAGGGGAGTAGGGAAAATATATAGTTCAATAAAAAAAAAACCAGTAGCCCTCTCATATACAAATGATAAATGGGTAGATAAAGAAATCAGAGAAACAACACCCTTCACAATGATCACAGATAATATAAAAATCTTGGTTTAACTCTAACCAAGCAAGCGAAAGTCCTGTGTGACAAGAACTTCAAGTCTTTGAAAAAAGAAAGTGGAGAAGATATCAGAAGATGGAAAAATCCCCCATGCTCATGGATCAAAATGACCATCTTACCAAAAGCTATCTACAGATTCAATGCAATCCCAACACAGTTCCTTTATAGACCTTGAAAGAACAATACTTAACTTCATAGAAAAACAAAACAAAACAAAAAACCCAGGATAGATAAAACAATTCTTTACAACGATTGGTTCAGTTAGAGAACCAGGCCAGGAGAGGGAGCCCACCCCTGATACTGTCTGGAGAGCCAGAACCTAGAGGCTGTTTACCCAGAGACCTAGGTTAGAACCAAACATAGCTCTCAAAAATATCAATGTAATGATGCCTAATGACATATATGATATTCTGCCATACGCATAGATTGGTGTCTAGCCCAATTGTCATCAGACTGGCTTCATCCAGCAACTGATGGAAATAGATGTACAGAGCCACAGCCAAGCTAGGAATCCCTAGTTTAGGGAAATCTGTAGAGGTGGGGCTAGAAGGATTGTAGGAGCCAGAGGATTCAAGGACACCACAAGAAAACTCAGATTCAGCTAACCTGGGTTCACAGGGGCTCACAGAGATTGAACCTACAACCAGGGAGCCTTCATGGGACTGACCTAGGTCCTCTGTATGTATGTTATGGTTGTGTCTTTTTTTTATATTCTTGATTTATTTCTTTGTGAACAAAACAACCTTATATGCTAACACTGCCAAGGTATCATGTCTTACAGAACAGCAAGTAGGGGGAAAAGTTCGTAAGAACTTGAATAAAAACAAATATATTAAAAACACCTTTTTCAAATATTCAGGGACTTAAAC